GGGATTATATAGGAGGTGTGTGTATTTTATGTGTAAAAATATTTGTAATGTGTTCTCCAATTCTTTCTTTAAGTTTCCTTATTGTCATCCCGACATATTGTATTCCACAGCCATTGCATGTTAAACAGTATATAACATTTCTTGTGTTACAGTTTGTATCTGCTTCCTTATAGGTATTGATGTGCAATCCTGTCACATGCGATATAATGCAATTGTCAGTGTTAGTGATACTGCATGTTCTACATTTTTTGTTGCATTTGCAACCCTTATTGTTGTTTCCAAAAATCACGAAACCAGTCTTAGGAAACGACCGGACTTGGTGTCGACCACCGCTAACTAGAGTCTAAGAGGGTGGCTTCAGATGATCGGCCTGGAGCCGACGGCAAACGAAGCCCACAGAGGTCAGAAAAAGGCGCGAGTTCGAAGTCATGATCAGGCATTCGCCTTCCCAATCATTTTGGGGGACCTAGCGTTGATGAAGAATACCCAAGAGTCTTGCGTGTGGGTGTGAGTGGTTCTCGCAGCAGAATGCTGACTTCTACTTCGAATCCTGCGCCTCCATGGGATTGCAAGGGTGAGCCCCTAGGGTGCTCCACTTAAACCATCCAGGTGTTCCTCGACCCTAGTTAGGTTTCGGGTTGTTTTTCAGTTTTTTTTTCTCCATCTCCGCATGACCACATTTGCCCTGATTTTTGACGCTTTTTATCATAAGTTTTCCTTCAACTCACTTGAGTCATGTACGACATCTTTCTTGCCATGACTTTTTGCCGTTTGACTTACCAGATCATGGCAAACATCACACATACTAAATAGGGTATCATGTACAGTTTCTGTTTGAAGAAATGGACAGAGCAGGCTGAAGGCACAACACTGCCGTTGGAGCACCCTGGCATGCATTGGCCTTCGAGAAACTCCTAGTTCAGGCGAATCTCAAGGCTATTCTTCTCTATAATTTAAGCGTCACATTTAAAGGTATTTAATTCGATTCTAAAAAGAAGTAGAATGCATGGTACATTTCTAAAAAGGGTTGTCAGTCGAAGATGAAATTGTAAAACGCAATCAGAGAAGTGCGTTAGGCAGGGATAGCCGAGTGGTTAAGAGGTTAGACTCATGTCTGCACCTCTGAAAAACCGCGAGTTCGATCCCTGCCGAGGCTCTAAACCATGCCTTGCAAAAATTGCAAAAATGGTTCTAGTACCAGCGTCAGGCCCAGGTTGACAGGCCGGCTGATGAATACCCCAGTCACACCAACCATGTCTAAAAGTTGTCAAAGAATCAGTGATAAAGCTAGGACGTCACCCGGAAGTGGCGCGCAGAACCCCCGCCCGAGTTCTGTGGTCAGTATGCGAGGGCTACCGAGGAGGGAACGGCCTCGGCCAAAGAAGCTAGTTCGAATTGGAACTGTGAACGTAGGGTCGCTAACTGGAAGGTCCCGAGAGGTTGCTGATCTGATGACGCGCAGAAAAATTCAAGTCCTATGCCTTCAGGAGACGCGATGGAAAGGGCCAAGGCCAGGGAAATCGGAGAAGGTGTCAAACTCTACTACAATGGGGAAGACACCAAGCGGAATGGTGTGGCCATAGCGGTAGCGGAGTCGCTCAAGGACTATGTCTCCGCTGTGAACAGGATCAGCGATCGGATCATGGCTGTGAGGATAGACACGAAGGAGGGGTACTGGTCAATACTCTCAGTGTACGCTCCGCAGACCGGATGCCCCGAGAGTGAGAAGGACGAGTTCTACCTAAGGCTTGACGAAGCCATCAGATCGATCCCGGAAAGCGATTACTTGACCATAGCAGGTGATCTGAATGGGCACGTCGGCAGCGACAGAAGAGGTCTTGAAAGGGTGCACGGAGGTAGAGGAATAGGAGTGAGGAACGCCGAGGGAGAGAGGGTCCTGGACCTGGCTACTGCCCACGATCTGGCAATCTGCAGCACGTTCTTCGCGAAAAGGGAGACTCAGAAGGTCACCTACAGCAGTGGAGGACAGACGGAAATCGACCATGTACTGGTAAGAAGATCATCCCTCAAAACTGTGAAGGATATCAAGGTAATTCCTGGCGAAGAACTGGCTCCTCAGCACAGGCCCCTCCTGGCAGACATAGCCATAGACCTTCCCAAGAAGACAAGGGTAAGAACCGAGAGGAGAATCCGGTGGTGGAAGTTGCACCGAGCAGAGAAGAGCGACCTCAAACGAAGGATAATGGAAGTTGGTCTCCCAGATCCTGAGGGACCAGTGCAGCAGACTTGGGGCAATGCAGCTGAGATCATCCTACGATGCGCCAAGGAGGTACTGGGCGAGACGCGGGAGGTACTGGGTGAGACGCGAGGTGGATTCAGAGGAGACAAGGCAGCGTGGTTCTGGAACGAGGAGGTCCAGCGAGTCGTGAAGCAGAAGAAGGAAGCATACAAGCGCTGGCAGAAGACCCGGAGCCCCGAAGACCTCGCTACCTACAAGAGTTGCAAGAGGCTCGCTAAGGCAGCCGTCGCCAAGGCGAAGAACACGGAAATGGACGCCTTGTACGAGAAGTTGGAGAGCAGAAACGCAGAAAAGTTCGTCTTCAGACTGGCCAAAGCCCGGCATCGGGCTACCCAAGACATTAGGGTGGTGAAGAGCGTGAAGAGCAGTAACGGTGCCATCCTGAGGAAGCCAACTGAAGTCAGGAGGAGGTGGGAGGAGTACTACAAAGCGCTCCTGAACGAGGAGTACCCCCACAAAGACAGCTCGCAAGCAGAGGCGACGGCTGGCCCTATCTCACTATGGACAGAGGATGAGGTTCGTCAAGAACTAAGGAAGATGAAGGTTGGAAAGGCGGTGGGTCCAGATAAGGTGCCAGTCGAGGCATGGAAGGCGCTCGGAGAGTACGGGATCAGATGGCTTACCCAATTCCTGAACACGGTAACCACCGAAAGGAAGGATGCCGGATGCCTGGAGAACAAGCACTATCGTCCCCATCTTCAAGCAGAAGGGTGACGCGATGGACTGCTCCAACTACCGCGGGATCAAGTTGACTGCTCATACAATGAAGCTGTACGAGCGACTGGTCGACTCGAAACTGCGGGAGCTGGTCCCGATCTCCCAGGAACAGTTCGGGTTCATGCCCGAAAGGTCTACTACGGATGCCATCTTCATCGCGAGGCAAGTGATGGAAAAGTATCGAGAAAAGCGCCGACCCTGCTACCTAGCCTTCCTCGACCTGGAGAAGGCGTTCGACCGACTACCTCGAACAGTACTATGGAGAGCGCTCAGGGAGCGGAATGTGCCAGAACACCTGATCTCTCTGGTGAAGGACATGTACGATGGGGCGAAGGCAGCTATCCGCACCCCACACGGCCTAACGAAGGAAGTGGACATCACGGTTGGGGTTCACCAAGGGTCAGCTCTGAGCCCGTTCCTCTTCCTCCTAACACTAGATGTCATGGTGAAGGGGCTCATGGAAGGACCACTAAAGACCATCCTCTACGCTGACGACATCGCCCTGATAGCGGAAAGCAGAGAAGAACTACAGGGCAAGGTGCAGAAATGGCAGGAAGTGCTGGCAGAAGGTGGGCTTCGGCTGAATGTCAAGGAAGACCAAGTTCCTGAGCTCTGAAGAGGGATTAGAGCCAATCGTAGACGGCCATGGAGAGATCATCGAAAGAGTGGAGGACTTCAGATACCTCGGGAGCGATCTGGCAGCCGACGGAAGTGTGGATCAGGCAGTAAAGGCACGAATCAACGCGGCCTGGATGAAGTGGAGGGAGTCCACTGGGATCCTCTGCGATCGAAGGTGCTCCAGAACACTGAAAGGAAAGGTGTATCGGGCAGTGGTGAGGCCTGCGATGCTATACGGCAGCGAGTGCTGGCCCCTGAACAAGAATCACGAAAGGCAGCTGCACTCCGCTGAGATGAGGATGCTGAGGTGGGCCTGCGGCTGGACGCGACTGGACAGGGTCAGAAACGAGGAGGTCAGAGCGGTCATGCAGACTGCCCCTGTCCAGCTGAAGGTACGGGAACAGCGTCTGCGATGGTATGGGCACGTGCTAAGGAGGCCACAGGACCACCCAATAAGGAACAGCAATGGACTTCGAAGCGCAGGCAAGCGACCGCGAGGAGCCCCAAAGAAGAGGTGGAAGGACGTAATCAAGAAGGACCTAAGTGAATCACGGCCACAGCAGAAGATGCCCTAGACAGAGCGAAGTGGCGACGACTGATAAAGACAGCGGACCCTGCGACTGCGCGGGACTAACGCTAGGGAGAAGAAGAAGAAGAAGAAGAGAAGGCGTTTTATTATGATGAACGACATTATGGGATACTGTGATGTGATGGCTTCCGTTCTCTTCGAGACATCACCAACGCCTTTTCGCTTCAAGTCGATTTGCAAGGCTGGTTGCGAAGTGTCGCAGCAGCTATTGTGTCACACAGATTGTTGCAGCAGAACGAGTTGGGATAAGCATTGCACATGCAAGTTGGTCCCTTGTCCCATACAACTTCGTTATCTTGGAGTACTCTGAAATGGGATACATGGCACTTCATGCTTTGCTTGAGCTATGATATAGTAGCGAAAAATGAAATGCATGCAGTACTCGTCTCAATAGCTGAGAACACAAGGTGAAACAACCTAAGATCAGAACTACGATAAGTTCTCCATATCATGTTCAAGACGGATAAAGCAGTGTGTCTGACACCCGAAAATACGGTACTGAAACACTCCAATTCGCAAGAGGGAGAGGTGAGGCTTTAGCGTTAGTGAGAAGTGCAATCAGGACCGAATCGTCCGTTGAGCGAAGATCAAACGGGGGAGCGGGAGGATTGTGAGATTTCTGGTTCTCGTGAATGTGGTGGAAACTGTGTTATGCAATGAAGTGAAAGGAAGGGGTCTCTTTATGAGCTCTCACAATTCCCAGGAAAATAGGCACGAAGTGAGCGTATAAGAGCTCTTGGCGCACCCCTACCCGCACACATATAACCCCGCTAGGGTGTCCCTCAAGAGGCCCGAGGCAGATGCGGCAAAGGACGAGCCGCAGCGCGTGCTGTGCGATATGAGACGTAGTATGGTACACTCTATTTAACCTGACGCCTAACCGCTACAGTATGCGCTGCGACTCGTCCTTTGCCGCGTCTGCGTCTCTTCCTTCGCCGCGCGACGGCCTCTTGGGGGACACCCAACCCCGCTACGGCAGTCTTGAAGGAGTTTATGGGGCACAGTTGGATGATACTGATTCCAGAAGCAGATACTACAGAAACAGCCATGATGGTGAGGTAGGTGTCGCTTTAGGCTACCAGGATAGGGCTGGAGGTGGGGAAGAAAGTACAAAAGCGACGATTGCCTCTGTAGTGCATGCTTTCTTGCAGGTGGGGGAGAAAGTTCCAGGTAGTCAGTTAACCGTATAATAACTGTAATCACCGTTCCTTCGGGAATAGCTGCATCAGTTCGGATTCTGCTATCGAGTGCTAAAAACACCAACTGATTAAAAAGCAACTGGAAGCTCGGCAGGGAAGGGGCGTGGCTGCACACTGAGCAATCCGCTCCTAGAGGCCCGAGCGAAGAAATAGCGTAAGCAAGGACTTTCAGGAATCCATAAAAAGTGCTCATCACCAAAAAAACCTACTCGCCGCCATAAGCGCAAGACACAACCATATTTGTCCCGGTGGGAAATTTGCACACTTTGTGAGCACATCCAACTTTTAGGTTTTGCCAGTTCGCAATCTTAAAATAAAGGAATTGTTTCATATGTCCCCATTTTGGCAGCGGATAGAATCAGGATTAAATACTCACGTTGGATAGTGGTCTAATTTGCCAGTTATAAATGTTAGCTTCTGTATCAGGTTGAAGATTTCGTAGTGATGCGGTTACCCAAGACCAGGGCGTTTGCGTCAACACTTCAGTTTCCTGACTGTTTTGGAAAAGTAGCCTGAATAGTTTTATTTTTTGCTGATTTTATGCGAAGTGGAATATTTATCGAATTTTACTGACCATTGAGCGAGATTTTGTGGAATACTCGTGTCTATTGGCAGAGGCGTAGTGCATGGCCAAATCATTGCCTTTGCTTTTGCTTCCAGATTGCAGTCCCAGTCCTGGAATTTTTCAACACCTCATATATATGTGAACATTCAGTCGGGTCTAAATATCGACCTCGACAGTACTGTAAGGATCTGAGTTTCAGCACAGAGCTGCCCTGATTAGTTCGAATGGTCAAAGATGGGCTTTTCGGTAAGAGAATAGCCGATTAGAAAACAAGGTCGAGGTAACCACTGATGCAGAAATGAGGAAAAAATCAAGAAAAATCAATTCACCTGATGACACCCATCATTCCCCGTTGGCTTTCGCATTGATGCGATTCTCATCGGTGCTGCTCTCATAAGCGCTAACGCTCTCTTAACCCTTTCCGGACCGCGCACTTTTTGCGCTCACGGCCGCATGCTGCGCGGCAAGCATAAATATCATATATTTAATCTGTATTCCCACTAAAGCCATTATTTTGTCTCGTTTATGTCTTTGTCATGTCTCGAAGAATATATAAGATTAATTTGACAGAAAACTGTTTTGCAAAAAAAGGGAAAGGGCCATAAAAAGGGAGGAAGGGACGAAAATTGTTCAAAATAAGTTGGTATGGAGAAAAAGGGAGTAGAACGTGCCCAAAACGATTGGATCCATAAGAATCAGATACGACGAGCAGGATATTTCACAAATTCTTCGTTTTTAAGTGTTTTCAAGCGAACTACAACTGTTTTCTTTGAGCCCAAAGTGGAAGTCCATTTACTCTTTGGTTATTTTAGAACCTAGATTAAACCTAAAGTCTAGGTTTTTTCATACATATGGCATGAGTCTGTTACATAGGTATGTAACAACATAAAATATTTTATCGAAAAACCAAACTCTTGGAAAAATCAGCTCTTGAAGTTCCTGACACACCATGTGTGTCAGGCGGTCCGGAAAGGGTTAAACAGTGCTGGCGAAAAGAGAGGGTCAGCGAACGTTCGGGCGTACCAAGAGCGGCGAGGGTACGGCCCCGTTAAGCCAACAAATCTGTTAATAGTCGGTCACCTGGAGACGAGATCCTTGGCAGTGGTTACCACTATGGACGAACTGCTACGCCATGCGGGCTTGCTCTTACCGCAGAAACGGCCTTGGTTTTTCTTAGGCCTAACTTCCCTTTACACTATTCAGGTTTTCCCCTCTTCAACCTACACTTTGTCGTATCACATGCCCTTAAAGGACGAATTCACGCTGGAAAAGCAACCCATTTCAAATTAACTTAGCGATGGTGAGTGGTACACTAAAGAAAGGAAAAACCATGAGAAACGGCCCAGAACCCGAGAAATGGGACCCCTTCCTTGCCCGTTGATTTGAGCATTGATGCGACTATCATCGCTGTGCCCTCTTCAACACTACGCTCTCTCACCTATCTAATCACTCGCCACGTATAGACCTGCGGCGAGTGATCAGATGATCGGTGGGCGTGCACTGACCAGCCGCGGCGGGATTAAACCTTAATAGGTCAACGAGGTCAACTCCTCCTGTGCAAATTGTGCTTCAGTTCGCACACTTAGGAGCTCCGCGACTAGTGAATTGCTCGCTTCTTCGACTCATCCACTGACTAAACGTGATTCGTCCTTAAGTCAACGAAAAACATACTTGTAACCGCAGCGTTTCGAGACAGGCGTTATGGAGTGTCATTGCGAAAAAAAACGGGCGGGGGGGGGGGTGCCAAGCAGTGCACTAACTTGTGAAGCTAGCAATGTACAATGACGTCATCGAAAGCGAGTCCTCCAGCTATTGTGTTCATCGTCTTTGAGCTTCCTTTCGCTTTGCAGGTCCTCACGTTGAGCGCCTTTTTTGCCTTTCGTTGCGCAATGGTTGGTTGAGTAAATGCCACTTACCATTCTGTACATGTTCTTAGCTGGACCGAGAACATTTCGCATTCTGAACAGCTCCGGTGAGGTTGAGCAACGGGCTTGCACCTGCTATATCACGGCGAACTTCATTGTGAAAATCGAGGAAGATTTTTCTTGCCTCATCAGTTTGGTTTAGATCTGCTGGGCAGCAAAAACCTAAAACATAATTCAAATTTAACGGAAACACTTTGGGGTCTAGGACTGTTTAGGCAGTTTCTAGTTTAACGACGTCATGGTGCCTTCTCCAGCGAGCATTCGACGTCTCCGGCGATCAGTCAGTCACGTACCTGCTTCGGTATTTGATGTCACCAGCACCTTAAAGGACAGAATTCACGATGAAAAAGCAACCCATTTCAAATTAAGTTAGGGATGGTGAGTGGTACACGAAAGAAGGAAAACCATGAGAAACGGCCCAGAACCCGAGAAATGGGACCCCTTCCTTGCCCGTTGATTTGCGCATTGATGCGACTCTCATCGCTGTGCCCTCTTCAACACTACGCTCTCTCTGCTATCTAATCACTCGCCACGTATAGACCTGCGGTGAGTGATTAGATAGTCGGTGGGCGTACCCCGCCAACCGCGCCAAGAGTGAGCCATGCTAGATCGCCGAGGTCAAATCTTTCGCTGCCAATTGCGCGTCGGTCACCCCAGGAGGTCCGACTATGCAACTTTCCCCTTCTTTGACCTTCGTTCTTATCGTAAATTCCACGTTTAACACACAATATTTGGCAAATTTGAGCCTGAGATTGCAATGAAAAGGAGGCCATTACATGTAAGTTAAAGTAGAGGCGTTCTGTGGCGCAGGGATAAAGAAAAGATCATGAGAAACAGGCTAAAACCTAAGAAATGGGCCCCTCCTGCCCGTTGGCTTTCCAATTGATGCGACTGTCATCGATGCTGCCCTTCTCAACGGGTGTTCCCCAAGAGGCCCGTCGCGCGGCGAAGGAAGAGACGCAGACGCGGCAAAGGACGAGTCGCAGCGCATACTGTAGCGGTTAGGCGTCAGGTTAAATAGAGTGTACCATACTACGTCTCATATCGCACAGCACGCGCTGCGACTCGTCCTTTGCCGCATCTGCGTCTCTTCCTTCGCCGCGCGACGGGCCTCTTGGGGGACACCCTCTTCAACGCTAACGCTCTCTAGCAATGGCTAGAGTCAGACTGCGGAAGGATGGGCGTGCCGTGAAGCGAACGACGTGGCCATCCTTCCACCATCGTCTCTTCACCGCAGGAATCGCATTGTCCCCCTATAACGAACCGGCCTGCCTTCCGACTAGGTTTTCTCTCCCTCCGCAAGGGTACCTCCCAGGAGGCCCGTCGCGCGGCAAGAAGGCAGAGTCGGCGGACGCAGCGCGTGGTGTGCGATGTAGGACGTGCAATGGGACACTCTATTTAACTTGACGCGAAATCCCTATAGTACGCGCGCGACTCGTCCGCTGACTTTGCCTTCTTGCCGCGCGACGGGCCTCTTGGGGGTACCCCTCCGTAAGCATCGTGGAAGTCTCCTTCGAAGAAGCCTCTGGCTTGCACCTCCCTGCCATAGTGATATTATAAAATATTGTTAAGATGATTTATATGGAATCAAATCTGAACTCACCAGGTATAGGGCAGCAATACCGATTAGTGCCTGCATACCGAGCTGCTACTCCGAATGACTGGTAACATCTGCCCGAGCTTTTATATGGGATGATGCCCTTTTTAGATTTTTGTAATTAAACTAATCCAATTCGTTTCGGAAAGCTTGTGTGCTTTTTGAACGGCCGATCGATCAGATCCTTTACAATTCGTCGCGGCCTTTGTTGGAATCAAGCGGTACGAGTGGCGATGCCACTGTAGAGATAAACGATGGAAGCTGTGGCGGTTTAACATATTTTCTCACTTTAATCGCGAAAAGAACAATTTCCAGCTTCCCCGAAGCTCTCTCTCCCTCCGAAAATCCTTGTTGCCAAAGTAGATGGGGGTCACGCGGCAGCGCGATGACGAATACCCTAGGGCTAAGGCGGGGGAAAGAATGCCTTGGAAAAGAAAAACTGCTTGTGCAGCCCGGAGTTCCTTCCCCTTGTTCCTCCGGCTTAGCCCTGGAACTGAAAACTTCAGTAATCCTGTTCTCCCCACCATCCCCCGCCTAGCTAACACACTTGTTCCAGGGGTTGGTCCAAGACGCCTTCTCGCCGAGAGATTGAAACTCTTGCCAATAACAATGCCTTGGATTATCTTGTCAATTTCTCCTGCCAAGTGCAGGAGCGTCATTGTCTAATTGTAAGGTGCTTTACAAGGACTCTAATATCTCTCATTGAGCACTGTGACCGCTGCCATTTTTACTCTTTCGCAACATGCGCAGTGTCTGCACCCTCTCGTACGACGTGCTCTCTCGCGTAGTCCCTCTTTTTACTGCGCTGTGTCTCTTCGAAGGAGTTCCTCTAGTTTAACGACGCAACGACGCTCTTCCCTCCTCCGAATCGTATGATTCGTTTTGCAATTTTTCTCACTGAAGAACCTTTCCGTTAAACTCGTTTCATTATCAAGCGGAATAACATACCAAGTCGATCACTACCCGTGCCTTTAAGGAGGAGCAACAAAGCAGGCTCTTAGCTTTATAAAATATACGAGGTTCACTGTCGTTCGCCACCAGTGAATGGAAAAGCTCTCCTGTACTGAGGCATCCTAATCCGGGAAGTTCTCGAGCTGACTGGTTGGGGGTTAGGCGCGTAACTGTACCAAAATCCCCGATGTTGTTTTTATGGCTAGACGCAGATAGATTCAGATAATGAACTATTTTACAGTGCCGATTCACATCTTTACCCGCTCACATGCATGTCTGGTGCGCTCTGCATGCGTTTGTTTGGTAACGTGCATATAGCTTCAGTGAAGAGCTGTCATTTGAGTGGATAGGATCAGCGTGAGAGCCGATCCGGGCTGGTATCCCAAATACCAGCCTATTGCCCGCTTCAGGAAACTTGAGCTATTCTGAAGTTTATGTTCCATTGTCAGACATCGGCAAGCTGTTTACATGCATTCTGTACAGAAAGTGTGTGCTGAAACACCAACAACATTAAATGAGCATCACATTTGTGGAGTCGAGGTAGCCCGTAAGTGACCTAGCAGGGTCTGGTACTGGTGATTGAGACATACTGTCATACCTGTTCAGTGAAGTCGTAGCGAAGATCTCGTAGATTAGAGCAAGAAAGGTAATAAAGTAAACACGGTACTGAACGACTGAAACGGCAGCTACAATTTAAGATGACTTGCCTTTCGATGTCTGGATGGAGCAGTCACTCGGAGCATCTCTAAGGGCTATGCAAAAAGTCGTCCTTTTATATTCCATTGTCGTCCACAGCCATGTTTACATTCCATTTTCTTTGCTATCGCAAGATGCGGGGCATCCTCTAGGGCTAAGCCCAGGAAAGGCAGAAACTCCGAGGAAATGAAAACTGCTTACACATCCTGGTGCTAATTCTACCTCGCTTGGGGGACTTTATCCCGTTTGGTCAAAAAAAGAATATTTTCGCGCTTTCAATGGATTACTTACAACAGCCTTGTTGCATAAGCGCCCTCAGTTTTTTCATTCGCAGCGCCATGCGCCCTCTCATCTTTCTCCTATTCTCTCTTGTTCTTGCTCAGTGTCTCATTGCCTTAGCACAGCCAAATTACAGGAACCAGTGATCCCTTCATTACTGCGTTTTTGACGGTTTCCTTTCTTCTTTTCTTCATCGTCGGCCCACTAGCCAACCCCCGCAAGTAAACCCTTTTCATTTCATGTGTAGGAATCAGACCAGTTTGATCATGTAGTGTGCCTTTAAGTGATTCAAAAATGAGTATTTTCCTTCGCGGAATAGTTCCAACCACCTGGTCGTTTCTTAACATCTTCAAGAAACTTTCTTCTGCAGCGAATTATAATGTGAGCAGAGCCCAGTGGAACTATTACGAAATATGTTTACTCCTAGTCAGACCCTTCATCAAGTCTTAACTTAAGCTGAAAATTCTCATAACCACGGTCAGCCATGACGTTCGCACATTTCAAAAATTTCGCGACCTCCACCCTTAGGGGGGTCTCGATGCGACCCCCACCACCACCATGAGACTCAGGAGGCTCCCCCAATACGACCACCCTTCTCCCTACCCCGACCACCACCCTCGCCATCATGGCTGTTTCTATAGTATTTGATTCTGAGACCAGTCGACACAGCCCAACTTCGCCAACTTTTTATGCGACCCCCTCCCCAAAACCAACCACAAATGCGACCCCTCGTTCGAATAGTGCGAACGCACGGTTAACCCTACTCATAACCCTTCGTCAGCTTATACTCCATCACTTTAGCCAGTATTTTTCTGTCTGAATCATGAAGCAGCGCCATAATTTAACTAACACCTAGCTTTGCTTTGCGATTTTTGATTACTGGAAGCACCACAAATTCGACAACACTCGAAAAACACTGTTGCTTCGTTTGATGTACGTTTAAAGTGTTACGAAACCGTTAGCTCTCAGCGAACTGTCCTGGCTTAGTGCTTCATGAAAATTTCAATTTTGACTGAACACAATAGATATCTAGCCTATTCTCTACCCTGTTTTAATAACGGCATGCACGCACGGCACCATATCTAGGATACCCTTCGAAAAACCTTTCCAAGCATTGGAATAGCATGATATACTAACGAGGAAGTTTGAAGGAAGCAGTCCCGAGAATTTAGTGGAAATGAATGAGAAAGATGCATAGTGGATCGGGTACGAGATCTACTCAATGAGACTGTAGCCGGCACAGCCGGGACAGTGGCGCCTTAAAGGAATCCTTCTCGGAAAAATCGAGATTCTATTTCAGCCATAAATCACTGGCTTGAGACCCATTATCCACGATAAGAATGAAAAGAACAGAAAATTGCTTTGTTTTGGTAAAAAATTCGAAAAATCGAAAGGGCTGCTACGCGTTCAAAGTGCCCACGGACGTCTTTCACAAATGCTGGCGACGGGGATGCTTCCACTTGGTTCTTGGAGTGCCATTCACTAGAAGCTCTTTCTGGCCTTCTGCTTT